TTTATTTTTGCTATTTATATTTGTAGCTTTTTATATTTATTTTTTTGTTGTTCTTTTATTTGTACGAGTTGGTGGGGTTTTTTGATCTTTTTTTACTGAGGGGGGGGGGGGGGGTCTTTTGTATTTTGTTTTGAATTGTTGGTTTTATTTGTTGTTTTTTTACCAATGTTTGGTGATTTTTTGGTTTTTTTTGGTTTTTTTGGCTATTATCATATTTGTGGGGGTGGGGGGGGCGGGTGGCAGGTGGCACGGTGTGGGGGGGGGGTGGGGCGGGGGGGGGGGGGGGGTTTATAATTTTTGTGTTTTTTATTATTTTATTTTTGCGCGTTTTATATTGGGTGTATTATCCTATTATTGGGGGTGGGGGGGGGCTGGGGGTTATGGGGCTTTTTTTGGGGGAGGGGGGACTATTTGGGGTATTTAATACGGGACGTTGGGGTTAATTATATTTATTTAAAACAGTGGTTTTGGGGTTATTAATTTATGAATTTTATTTTATTGTTTTGATGCAATTACTTATATGCTGGGGGGGGCGGGGGCGTATGTTTTTCTATATAATTTGGGGGTAGGATTTAAAGATCCTATTTAATTTTTATTTTGCCCCCAATTTTTTTTTTTTTGTATTAAATTTTGGCTTAATTTTTGCGAGGGGGGCTTGGTTACTTAGTATCATCTTATTTGGGCGGGTAATTGTGGGTATGTCGCGGCGGGAATTATTTTATTTTTATTTGCGGGGAGGGGGTATAATGTAGGTGGGTGGGTGGAGGGGGGTGGGGATCTTAAATGAATTGTATTTGGGCGGGGCATTTATTTTTTTTTTGTTTTGGTTATTGTCGGGCGTGGGGGGGTGGGGGGTACTTTTTTGTAATAGGGATGGTGAGTTTGGGGGGGGGGTAATGGGCCCTTTAGAGATATTGTTAAGGTGGGGGGGGGGGGTAATTCATCTTTTCATTTTCTTGTTGTGTTATTTTTCGTAGGAGGGGAATTGGGGGCGGGGGGGGTGGGGGGTGTGGGGTGTTTGGTTGAGGCGGGGGTGTGGGGGGGCTGTACTTTTAATATTAGGGTTACAGGGGGGGGTTGGGGTGGTTACGGGGGTGGGGGGGGCGGGTTGGGGTGGGGGGGTTGGGAGCATGGTTTAATTACGATACTGGGGGTATTATTTATGGGGGGGGGGGTGGGGGTTTGAATTTGGTTTGGGCGGGCGGTGATTGGGTTGGGGGGAATGTGATTGTGGGGGGGGGGGGGGGGGTTTTGTGGGGGGGTGGTGGGGGGGGGGGGGGTGGGGGGTGAGGGGGGGGGGGGGGGGGTGGGAGGGAGGGGGGCATTGGGGGATGTGGGGAGGGGGGTGTTGGGGGGGGGGGGGGGGGGGGGGGGGTGGGGGGGGCGGGGTGTTTTATTATGATTGGGGGTAGGAGGAAGGGGGCGGTTAATTTCTATAGGGGGAGCGGGGGGGTGGCGTAGGTGGGGGGGCGATGGGAAGGGGGGGGGGGGGAGTGGCGGAATTGGTCGTTATTAATATTTATTTTATATGTGAGGGGGTGGGGTGGTTTGGCGGAGGTGGTTTAGGGGGGGGGGGGGGGTGATTTACTTTGTTTTCTTTATTTTTCTTTGCGGGCGGGGGGTGAGGTGGTTTCTGTTATTTTTTTTTGTTTTTGGGGTTTTTGTTATCAAATGAGGTGGGCTTTACCAAGTTCGTTTTAATGTTTGGGGTAAGGTTTTATGGCTTGATTTTTGTTTATATTGGGAGGGGGGTTATTTTATTTGTGGGGAATGGTTCAACAGGGGCACCAAGGGCGGTGGGTAATTTTTATCAAAGCCGAGGGCGGGGGGGGGGGGGAGGGATTTGGGTGAGACGGGGTGGGGTTCATAATTTTTTTGGTAAACGTATTTCTTGGGGCGGGGAACCGTGGTATTATCTTGGGGGCGGGCGGGGGTAACATTTTGAGGGGTTTTTTGAGTTTTGATGTTATGTTCTTTTGGGAGGGACGGGGGGGTTGCGGTTAATTTATTTTATGGGGGGGGGAGGGGGTATGCACTGGGGAGGTTATTGGGGGGGGGGCGGGGGGGTGATGGGCGGGGGGGTGGGGGGGAGGTGGCGGTGGGGGGGGGGATGGGTGTGGTGGGGCGGAGGGATATAAGTGGGCGGGGGGATTTTTACTCTATTGGCAGCGGGAATGGGGCTGGGGACAAGGTGGGGGGTAGGGGGGGGCGGCGTTACAAAAAATTTTCAACTATTTTTTACACACAGGGGGGGGGGGGGGAGGGACCAAAAAAAAAATCAGGGGGTGGGTGGGGGGGGGGTGGTTGGTGGGGGTTTTTTGGGATTTTTTTTTTTTTCTGGATTGTTTGGGGGGGGGGCTTTAGTTTTTTATTCGCCTTTTCTGAGGGGGGGTACGAGCGGCGGGTGTGGTTTTGCGGCGGGGGTATTGTTGGGGGGGGGGGGCGGGTGGGTGGTGTTCGGGTAGGGGGCACTTTTGGGGGTGGTGGGTGGGGAGGGGGCATTTCTTTTTTTCTCCGCATTGGGGTTACGACGCGATTTCTATGGGGTTAGGGGGGGGTATGTGGGCGGGTGAACTTGGGACGGGGTTGGGAGATTTTTTTTTTGTTTTTTTCCGCAGGGGGGGTGGGGGTCGAGACGTAAATTTGTACTTGTTTGGTATAATACAACACAATATGTATGTGGTGTGAGGGAGTGGGTGACTGGTTTGTCTGGGGGGGGGGGGGGGGCTGGGGGGGGTTTGGTGAAGGGGACTTTTAGGGGGGGGGCGGGTGGGGTGTGGGGGGGGGGGTGGGGGGGGGGGGTGGGGGGGGTGGGGGGGGGTGGGGTTATGCAGGTGTTCGGGGCGTGCCGGGGTGTTGCGATGGCTGTAATAATAAAATCATGTAACTCTAGTTATATTGAATAATAATCGGGTGGGGGCTATTGATTAAAATCGGTACAAATAAAACCAATTTAAATAAAATGCGTTGTAAATGTTATTATGATACCTAAATTGCATGTCACGTTTTCAACGAAGTGTTTCAAAAAAAATTAAACAAAAAAAAGAATTCAAAAGTAGGATGCTATAATTCGTAAAATTTTTTATGGCCGCTATTAGGTTTCTATTAAAAAATAATATTACGATCTATAATCACTTAAATAATATAATGATAAATTTAATAAATTATAATTGAAAAATCTGGTATTCTATATTGACAAAGAATACCATAGTTGTAAAAAAAAAAATATTGGGCTTATTAAGCTAACTAACGGGAATTTATTTTCAATGGTATCTTAATAATAAATAAAAAGATATTTCGGCGGTTTAATTAAATGGAATAGTAATAAGTATCCTGACTGACCCCCCACACACACCTCCTGTATTCCTGTCCTCTATATCCTGACCCCCCCCACCCCACACACTCCTGTATTCCTTTCCTATATCCTGACCCACCCACACACACCTCCTGTATTCCTGTCCTCTATATCCTGCCCCCCCCCCCCCCCCCACACACACACACACCTCCCTGTAATTCCTGTCCTCTATATATCCTGACCCCCCCCCACCTCTATATCCTGACACCCCCCCCCCCCCACACCCCTGTATTCCTGTCCTCACATCCTCCCCCCCCACACACCACACCTCCTTCCTGTCCTGTCCTCTATATCCTGACCCCTCCCCCCCCCCACACACACACACCTCCTGTATTCCTGTCCTCTATATCCTGACCCCCCCACAACAGACACCTCCTGTATTCCTGTCCTCTATATCCTGACTTATATATCCTGACAACCCCCCCACACACACACACCTCCTGTATTCCTGTCCCTCTATATCCTGACCCCCCCCCACACACACCTCCTGTATTCCTGTCCTCTATATCCTGACACCCCCCCCCCCACACACACACCTCCTGTATTCCTGTCCTCTATATCCTGTCCCCCCCCACACACACCTCCTGTATTCCTGTCCTCTATATCCTGACCCCCCCCACACAGACACCTCCTGTATTCCTGTCCTCTATATATCCTGACCCCCCCCCCCCCACACACACATCCTGACAGACACACCTCCTGTATTCCTGTCCTCTATATCCTGACCCCCCCCCACACACACACACACAGACACCTCCTGTATTCCTGTCCTCTATATCCTGACCCCCCCCCCCCCCAGACACCTCCTGTATTCCTGTCCTCTATATCCTGACCCCCCCCCACACACACCCACCCTCCTGTATTCCTGTCCTCTATATCCTGACCCCCCCCCCACACACACACCTCCTGTATTCCTGTCCTCTATATCCTGACCCCCCCCCCCCCCCCACACACACACCTCCTGTATTCCTGTCCTCTATATCCTGACCCCCCACACACAGACACCTCCTGTATTCCTGTCCTCTATATCCTGACAACCCCCCCCCCCCACACACACACACACACACACACACGCTCCTGTATTCCTGTCCTCTATATCCTGACCCCCCCCACACCTCCTGTATTCCTGTCCTCTATATCCTGACCCCCCCCACACACACCTCCTGTATTCCTGTCCTCTATATCCTGACCCCCACACACACCTCCTGTATTCCTGTCCTCTATATCCTGACCCCCCCCCACACACACACCTCCTGTATCCTGTCCTCTATATCCTGACCCCCCCACACACACACACCTCCTGTATTCCTGTCCTCTATATCCTGACCCCGACACCCCCTGTATTCCTCTATATCCTGGACTAGACTCTCACTCTCCGTCCTGGCCAGGCAATGCCAGGGGCTGAGTGACAGACAGGGATATACGGGAGGCGAGCTCCACCTGCTGGACGTTCGTGTGTACTGCCCTCCCGGTTGTGGACCCTTGCTCTCGTCACCCAATGACCGGACGGCTTCCGGTTTCATCATCATGATTGGCAAATCCATCTGCCATTTGGACGGTTGTCTTTCCTTTTCCTGTCTCTGATTGGTCTTCACCTTGGAATCGCTTATCCTATTGGTGACGTCGAGCACTGCCCCCAGTCGGTATGGCCGATAAGCGGGCGGAGTTGGCCTCCAGGACGGGTGTCAGGATGTTTTCCCTAAAGAAATGGAACGCGGTGGCGATGTGGAGCTGGGATGTGGAGTGTGACACGTGCGCCATCTGCAGGGTGCAGGTCATGGGTGAGACACCGACCACCGGGGAGAGGGGGAGGGGGAGAGCGGACAGCAGTCTGTACATGGGAGGAGAGTCCTCTGCTAAGGATATCCACTGATATATATGAGGTGTGCGGGGCGCCCAGGGCCTGCTGGGACATCATTACATGGGGCTCCCGATGAGCTAAGAATAGGCACTGAATAATGGACTAGCAGCAGAGACCGTGTGGGGGCGCTGTGAGCAGCGGCCTTGTGTGTCGGGGCAGGAGGAGCAAACGCCGTGTCTTCATGGGGGGAGGGTGGGAGCAGGACGGGAAGCCAGTTTAAATGTAGTGCCCCCCCAAGTGGGGGGAGGACAGGAGGTGTAGGGCCCTCAATTGGGGGGACGGCAGGGGCACAAATTCAGTGTCTTCAAGTGGGGGGAGGGCAGGAGGGGCAGGCAGCCCAAATCCAGTGCCCTCCAGGGGGGAGGGGGGAAGGTAGCCCAAATCCAGTACCCTCCAGGGGGGAGGAGGGGCGGGCAGTCCAAATACAATGCCCTCTGGGGGGACAGGCAGCCCAAATGCAGTGTGTGTGTGGGGGGGGGCAATGTCATCAGGTGGGTGGGAGGTGGTGCCTGTGCCCAGGGCATGCTGCAGGTTAATGATAATGAACTAGAACACCCTTTCTCAACCGGGGTGCCTTGGGGTTTTTCTTCAGGGGTGCCTTGGCAAAATGTCTAAAAAACTGCTGAAAGCGTCTGTACACGCCAGTGGGTGGATCAATCCTGCCTTTTAGTTACACAGTCACAGGTTTCCATCATGCACCATTACGACCTTCTAGCTGCCAGTGTCCTGACAACCAATGACATCGGTTGATAAGGAGGATGTCAGCTGCCTGCACAGCATCCTAGTTTGATCCTCTCCTGTCCCTCTCCCATTAGTTCTGGGGCACATTAGCTCAGTGATGGAGAAAAACTGAGGGAGAGGAGAAACATTGGAATACCAGTCAGTACCAGTGTGCAAAAGTGTATTTGATTTGGAAGAATAAATCACCTCTAGTGTTGGGTGTCCTATGTGTGTGGATGTTGCTGTTAAAATAGTTTTTTACATTTTAGAATGGGGTGCCCTTTTAAAATTATGGACCGTTTTGAGTTACCCCAATTTATAATGGGGTGCCTCAAGACTGTCCTCAGTTTGAAAGGGTGACTCGGGACTGTCCATAATTTTAAAGGGTGGCTTGACTGAAAGAAGGTTGAGAAACACAGGAGTAGAAGACCGCAATCTTCCTTCTTCCGGAAGGCCTCTGCTGTCACACTCTCAACATGAAAACCTTTACATATGCCCATATGCTAATTGTGGATGCCTGGGGGGGATAGGTGTGCCAGAGCTTGCAGGGTTTTCTGGCCATCTACATCATGCGCAGCAACAGGGGAGGGGAGCATAGTCCTGCATCTTTACCCTGAGCATTGGATGACCCTGTCTCAGCACTGCCTGAACACCCCCCCCAGACCACAGTGGATATGTAATTAGAGACTAAGGGTAGGTGCACACACTGTGTATGTCGGGAACGAGCGTAAAATCACATCCTTTCCAGACACGCAGAATTGAACCGCCTTGTAGCAGACGCATGGTGGTCGCACTAATTTTTAATGACACCCCCCTGCATCTGCTAACATACGCATCAAGAAGCATGGAGCTGCAGTAGCATGTGGTTTGGTGCCGTACAATTTTACAGAAGGGTCAGGGACTTATTTTGCTCATTTCTCACACATAGGGCATCCCATTGAAATGAATGAGTTGCCCAACATGCAGGAACGGGCAGAAAAATTCACGTCGTGTTAGGCTAGCCTTAAGTACATACAGGCCAAATATCAGCCAAAATTAGCCGGTACAGTAGATGCCAGCAGACCTTCTGCCTGTGTATACAAGTCCTTGTTTGACAGAAGCTGATATCACAACTGGCGTCTGCAAACGAGCACACTGGAAAACCAGCAGCCAATCAGCCAAAAGCTGAGCACTGACTGGTGTGTGTTGTCAGCCCACTGGGTTTACCGAAAAAAAAAAAAAAAAAAAAAACCTTCCCGTGTGCACCAGGCTTTACTGACGGTCTCCGAATAAACTCTTACTCTGTGTGGGCATGCTTCTAGCTACCTATTAGGGGCATCGGGCACAGAATTCCTCTCTAGTCCAAATTGCACTCATTTTATGATTCCAATGGGCTGCGGACTGGCTTATTCCCACCCACAGCTAATGTAAACAAAGAGATGGGGGTGACACTACCCACAGCTTAATTAAGGAAAAAAATGAGTGTGTTTGGCTAAAGATGAGTTCAGAGGATACCTGAGTCACTATGACACCGGATGTTGCATTGTGTGATGGGCAGGGGATGTGCATATTCTCCACTGTCAGGAAGGAGAGATTGAGGGGGGTTTATGTTGCACTGCATGGAGTATGTTCTTCCTGGGCTTGCATGCAGGGGCGGACTGACCATTCGAGCACTCAGGCACTGCCCGAGGGCCCGGGGTCAGTAGGGGGCCCCATGAGATGCCCCTGGTACCTTTTTTATTGGCTTTTTCATAGGCTTTTTTGGGTGTGGGTGAGGACACAGGGACCCCATAATCCCCTATTGCCCGGGGGTCCCATGGGTTGTCAGTCCACCCCTGCTTGCATGTTCATTTAATTGGCTCCTATCTAAATTGTCCTTAGTATGTTCAATTGCATCCTGCATGCTAAAGGCTCCCAAGCGTATCGGACATGGTGCCCAGAGAGCTGGCCCATAGAATCATGGTTTGGATGCCAATATATGGATTTATAAATGCATATAGGGGTTTGACAAAAAAATGGAAACGCTACATGATTTGCAGATGTGAAACTGACAAAATGTTTTGTGTTGAAAGCGGAAGTGGTGTAACATTCCTCCCCTGTGTGATGAGACACCTAGCTAACCAGTGGGAAGCCTCACTTTTGTCATTCACTGCATGTCCGAGTTTACTGAGCTTCAAAGAGGGCAAATTGTTGATGCCCGCTTAGCTGGTGCCTCTGTGACTGGATTTGCCATGTCACAAGGTACGGTATCAAAGGTTATATACAGTTTCCAGGAAAACATCGTCTGATGAGAATAAGTGCAGTCGCCATGGTCAACTGACCAAAAGAGATAAAAGGACCTTGCGCATAATTGTGACCCCCTAATAAGGGAACAACTGCTGCAAAAGTGACTGCAGAGCTCGATCTCAGTCTTCCAAAGCCCGCGCCCACAAAAGTCGCGCTTCGTGCTGTTACCAACCACCGAATGTATTTATTTAAACGTGGCAAATGCTGTCCCAAGCTTATGACCAGGACTGTCTTGTGCCAATGGTAAAGCACAGTGGTGGTGCTATCAGGGTTTGGGCAGCCATATCTTGGTATTCTGCAGACTCCATCATAACTGCCAGTGACTCTGTACAGATTTTAGCCAGCTATGTGCACACCATGGTGCAGAAATTTGTTTTCCGAAGACAACCCCATTTACCAAGACGATAATGCTCAGATTCACACAGCTGGTGGTTTGATGAGCATGCAGAGGAAGTCTCACACCTTCCCTGGGTGTTGCAGACACCGGACTCCCATATCATAGAGCCACTATGGTCAATTTTGGAGAACAAGGTTCGGGCTCATTTACCGCCTCTGGCATCTCTGTGAGAACTGGAATGATGTTTGCATGAAGATTATCATATTCCATTACCCACCATCCAAGACTTACATTTGTCAATCCCTGCTTCAGTCTATCCTGAATTCTGCAGCCAGACTCATCCACCTCACCAACTGCTCTGTATCTGCCTCCCCCCTCTGCCAATCCCTCCACTGGCTTCCGATTGCCCAACGCATAAAATTCAAAATATTAACATTGACGTACAAAGCTATCCATAGCACTGCCCCAAACTACATCACCAACCTGATATCCATCTACCCCCAAAACGCACTGTCCACTCCTCACAAGACCTCCTACTCTCCAGTTCCCTGATCTCCTCCCATGCCCTTCTCCAGGGCCTCCCCATCCTCTGGAACTCTCTGCCCCAATCCGTCAGACTGTCACCTTCCCTCCTCACCTTTAGGCGCACCCTGAAAACCCATCTCTTCAGAGAAGCCTACCCAGCTGTCACCTATTTGCTGATCTCCTCCACTCTTCCTACCACTCCGTCCCCCACGCTATTTCCTCCTGTACCACTATCCCCACCTTCCTAGATTGTAAGCTCCAAGGAGCAGGGCCCTCGAACCCCTCGTGTATTGCATTGTATTGTTACTGTACTGTCTCGTGTACTGTCTCCCATTATAATGTACAGGGCTGAGCAAACTTTTGGCGCTATATAAATCCTCTATAATAATAATTCCCAGGCCGTCTTGGATGCCAAAGGCAGTCCAAAACCATACTAGTTAACCTGTTCTTTTACCTGGTGTTTCCATAATTTTGTACAACCCCTGTATATATGCACATAGCAGACCACATAATAAAACTAAGTTGGTTTAGGGACGCCTGCACCATGATTGGAAACAAAAGCAAAGACTAATATAAAGGAAAATTTTGGGGGGGGGGGTTAGGAATAAAGCAGCTGCCACAATATCTCCACATAATAGGCTTGTCTTAGGTGTGTTCACCTTTCTTGAGGAGCCCCAAAATCTCTACACAAGTTTCCACCTTCTGAAGTCTTAGGCTGGCCATACATATGTAGATTTTCGGCCGAGAGTATTCGTAAGAGAAAAGTCGTATGAAAATTCTTTTCACATTCGACGAATGGACTAATGTCGTTCGAAAAATTCTCTTGCTTTTAACATTCGATTTTAAAATGAATGTAATTTCTGAACGATAACCACATACACTGGCCGATAATTAATTTGATCGAGAAAAGTTTTCCTTCCTGCCCCTTGGAATTTTCTAGTCACTGTTGAAAACAAACATCGAATTGACTCCAGTAACGATTAGAAAATCAAACTAATATTCTTAAAACGAAAATTCTCAAAAATCTATATGTGTATGGCCAGCTTTAATCCCACACGAGGCTCACACTTTCTCCCCCAGCAGCCCTGGGACTTGGTATTTGTGAGACCACAAGCATCAGGGTAGGGAAGATGACTGAAGGCAGCCTACGGTGTCTCCTGCAACACATACCTGTTACATTGACTAGCATTGACTGTAAAAGGACTCTTTTAGTATAAAAAATAAATCCTGATGGACACTCACTGGAATGGAAGATGTATGCTATACTCACCACTCTTCAGTGGCCTTCTTTCTGCTGAACTCTGGCCTCCAGCACTAATCGGAGTGTCTGAGATCTCCTACTGTGGTTCCATCCCCTGACCCCTTCATCATTAAAAGACAGCAGTGACTTAAGCTGGCCATACATGGATTGAAGTTCGGCCTGTTCAGCAGGAACCATCCAAATTTCAATCCATCTATTGCCGCTCCTATTCATGAGAAGTCGGTCAATTAATCGACTTTTTAAAGTGTAAGTCCACTTTCGTGAGAAAAAAAATGGCAAATAAAAAAAAAAATATATATTGCAGCATATACAATTGCAAACACAAGTGGTCCTTACCACTTTTTTTTTTTTTTTTTTCTTCTTGTGTGTAATATGTTGCATACAGACATAAAGTTACTGAAGTGTGTACATGACTGCCTGTTGCTGGGAGGAAATCTGAAATGTAACTTGTGTGTCTATTTCCAGATGCTTGCCTGCGCTGCCAAGCTGAGAACAAGCAGGAGGACTGTGTAGGTATGTCATTGTGTACTGGAAAAGCATAGCAGACAGTGCTATAAAAGTGACTTTTCTCTGAAACATTAACTCTTTACAGCCATTCAGAAGTAGCCCTATAAAAGTTCATAATGCCGGAAGCAGTACATGGTCTTTCTGATCATGTGATTGGCTGTCACATTAATCACATGATTGGGAACCTGCCTCACCAGCTTTCAGTCATTGTTTTAACTGCAGATGAAGTAGACAGAGTAGATCCAAAATAACCATGTTACTATGGTTTTCACCTTCTCATCTGAGCAGTGTTTATAAACACATTACAGTAAAGCATACTCCCCCTAGTAAAACACTCCCTACACGCAGTTAACCCTTTGATCGTCCCTCACATTAACCCCTTCCTGCCCAGTGTCAGTGCTGGTTTTTTAGCACTGATCACTGTATTGGTGTCACTGAGGATGTTAGTGGCACCAAGTTAGGTTCCCCCCCCCCCATTGTCAGAATTCCTGCTGTAGTCCTACTAAAAGTCACTGATCGCCCCCATTACTAGTAGGGGGGGGGGGGGGGGGGGGAAATCCCAGTATATATACCGACATTTGTAAACGCTATAATTTTCATGTAAAGCAATTAATTTACACGTATTGGGATTTTTTTTTTTTTTTTTTTAGCAAAGACGTAGCAGAATACATTTTGGCCAAATTTATGAAGAAATTTGATTTTTTTTTTTTTACTTTTTTACTAAACATGTTTAATAGCAAAAACTCCAAAATATTGTTTTTTTTTTTTTTTTTTTTTTCAAAATTGTCGGTCTTTTTTTGCTTATAGAGCAAAAAACTAAAAAAAGGGGCAGGAGATCAAATATTACCGAAAGAAAGCTCAATTCGTTGGAAAAATTGACCGCACAATTGTCAGTTAAGGTAATGCAGCGTTGTATAGCAAAAAATGGCCTGGTTAGGAAGGGAGGTAAATCCTCTGGAGGGCAAGTGGTTAACAGCTACCTCTATTTACACAGCAACTCCCAACTTAAGACTGCATTCACACTTGAACAATTTGTTACTTGAAGCTCAAAGCTCCAAAAACGCTGAAACTTAAAACAATCAATTGCTGTCTATGGTGCCTATTCACCTGATCAGGTGTGAACAGGCACCATAGAGAACAATTGTTTTTGTTTTTTTAATTTTGGGTGTTTTTGGAGCTCTGAGCTCTTTAAACTACAAATTACTCAAGTGTGAATGAAGCCTAAGAGCTCATTCACACCAGATTGTGGAACAGAAAACCTGTGTTGCATGTGCATTTCTCACACCGCATTCAGAACACACTGGATGTGTAATTTGATGCAGGTGTCAAAATAATCCTAATGACACCCCAAATGCAGATGGCAAACTCCGTGCATTTGCTTGTACCCGATGGCATGGTAACATAGGATTCTGCAATCTGGTGCAGTTCGTTTTTGAAAAGTAGTACATGGGCTACTTGGTCCAATCCAGTACCCATTCAAATGAAGTCACATAGGAATCGCACAGGAATGTGGATCGTGTTCCTGTGCTATTCAGGTGTGAACAGCCCTTAAAGTGTTACTAAACCCAGGACCCTGCATTCACTATATCTTGTCTCCCACAGAATATGGAATTGTAATTATCTTAGTAAATATAAACTGCTAAATATCTTTCTTATCAGCAGTTAGAGCAGTCTTGTGACTTCTATCACTGTCCGGCAGAGCACTGGTTAAAGCTTGTAGGAGTGAGAGTTTTTATTCTCCTCTCACTGTCCTATGAGGCTGCAGGTCCCTTGACTCTGTCTGGACAGTGCAGATTGGCCCTGTGCTGATCACTTGCACGCTCCCAAGAAAAATAGAAAACTCTAGCAATACACACTAAACTGAGCATATGCAGCTTGCTCCCAAGATTCTGTTCTATCAGGAGATGAAATGGGGACAGTGGGAGGAGGGGAGAATCAGAGAAGTCAGGATCAAACATCCTTTTTTTACACAATGCAGAGGATTAACCCATTAGTTTCCACAGTGAGTATAACAAGCATGCTTTACTGCATATACAGATTGATTTTACTATTGTGGGTTTAATAACACTTTAAAGTCACACTAAAGGTAAATTGTTTTAAATAAAATAATGAACATGTTTATTATTCACTTGCTCTGTGCAATGGTGTTGCACCTCTTATGTGCCCCCATAGCAAGCTGCTTGCCTAGGGGGGTTCACAGTGCATGCTCTCTCCTGAGCTGTGTATGTCTATGGAGCACCATAAACACACACAAACGGGGATTAGTTCCATCCCCTGCTTCCTCTTTGCTGTATTTTATTGACAGCAGCAGGAGCCAATGACTCCTGCTTCTGTTTGAGCCCCCTCGTGTACAGCACTGGATCTCTTCTGCCTTCTCTGCCCCTTCACACAGGGAGGGAGAGACCAGAAAGCAATAAAACCTTTTTACCTTAATGCAGTGAGTGGATTAAGGTAATAAAATGTTTTGGCTTTAAACCCACTTTAAGAGCCGAGAATTCCCAGGAGGGGTGGGGGGCAGTTACTGGGCAGAAGGACTGGAAGTGCTACACAAGCGCTGTGTACTTTGAGGATGCTTTTTGGGCATGTGTAGCACATCCAGTATCTTCAGATAGTTAAAGTGGACCTGTCATTAACATTACAAGCATGTATGTAGACATTTTTGGCAGGTCACACTGTACAGCAGCAGTATGGTGCTGATCTGCATGATTAGTAAAACAACCAAGAACATACAAGCTGTAGGACACAATTATGCCACCTATGGGACAGCATATTGATATAGGAAGTAGATGTTGAACCTGTATAACGCCTAAACAAAGTTTAGAATAGCTAACTCATTTAAAAGAATTAAGGTTCAGAGGACTAGCGTGAGGTCTTCCTAAAGCAATAAACGCCAGTAAGTGTTACACTTGAACATTACATAGCATGCATTCACTTTATATTAAAAATGTTTTCACTGTATGTCTGCTGTAAAATAAGCCACTTATTAAGGAAAGTACTGTGCTACCCTGCTGGTGTACCCATTACTGCCGAATAATAATACAACATAAACGTGTCTGAGATTATAACATTTTAGATTAGGAAAAATCCTTATTTCATACTAGCAGGTTATATTGCTGCAGAAGACTTGTGTTCATTTTCTATGCAATGCATCCTTTCCCTGGCAGTTGGCACACTGTTACCATGTACTGTGCATGAGATATACTACAGGAGGGGAATGGGGTCAGGGACTGCGAGGATTACTGTTTGTCTTTTCTTGTAATCTCTTTGGTCTCTTAAGAGGGAATTATCACTGGTAGGTAAGTCTCTTAAAAGAGCACGCTTTGTACATTCAAGAGCTGTGCTGCCAGAGATCTCCAAACTTGAAAAACTTTATAAACTGTTGTTTTTTTTCTTTTCATTTGGTTAGAGGAGAGTAGAGGGTTATAACCCTTTCATACTCCTATCTAAAAAAAAAAAAAAAAAAAAAATGTTTGCACTTGGTGCGGTGTTCTGGGGTCTGCTGTAGGACATTCAAAAAACAGGTCAGTAAACAAATTGGCTTGCTGTGGCCATTGTTGGGGGATCAAATTCTACCTGCTGGATTTTTTTCCTATGGAGGATTTAGCAGAAAGAATGGGAACACCGAAAACCTGGAGAGCTCAACTGGTGTACCTCAAAAGTATAAAAATCCAGTAGGCAGTTGAGCCCAGCAGATTTCACATTCAACTGACCCTTAAACCGATGAGAAAAAACTGATACAAAGAAGCTGAAGGTTCTCTTTACTGGTCTTCAAGGTAAGTTGCTTGGGATAACTGGTCCAAGGTGCCGCTTAATATTAAAGGCACTATCCAGGAAATTGTGATAGAAAGGATATTCAGAGTCAAGTGTAAGTACACTTAACTTTGGTCTGTCCATTCTCAGATATAGCTCTCCAAAACATGGGCCTGTCTTCATGGAAGTGTTTGGGCTGGAATCTACATTTACATGACTCCTTTTTTTCTTAAAATGGCATGGACAGGATGTAGAGATGCACAAAACAGAAGTATTGATCTATAGGTACCTCTGTGCTCCAACGCATAGGTAAGGGTAACTAAGGGGGAACTGAACTCTGGAAGCTGAGCTAAAAAAAAAAAGGCAAGGTGGGGGGAGGAGAGGACTAGTCACCAGCATTTTTGGCCTTCTTGCGCCTGATTTTTTTTTTTTTTTTCCCTATTACTGACTTGCCTTGGTTTGTTCTGCCTCATGTCTGTGTGGGGGCAGCTACCTTGGTAGAGACAGGGTTTTAATTAGGCTGGCCATACATTATACAATTTCCTTGTTCAATTTCCTTTTAGGTTTACCTTCAACTCTGTAGTGCAACGGCCTGCCTGATTGCATACAAATTGAAAAGTGTTTAGGTTAAGGTTAGGCTTCATATTATTATATGGTTTTGGTACATCTAAAGGGAAATTGTAAAAGAAAATTGTATATTGTATGTCCATTGCTCATCGCAGCACCTCCAGCACGAAGAATAATGATACCACCAAATCTCATTACAAAGCTGCTAAGACTAGCAGTCATAGACAGCAGTACCTGCAGGTGCACGAGTATATAAAAAAAAAAAAAAAGAAAAAAAAAAAAGAAACTGGAAGCTGATTGCAAAATCTGGTGCAACTTTATAGAAACCAATCAGCTTAACACCCCGGTCACATCGTGTGCGATTTGCATGCCATGCGACTTGTAAATCATATGCCAAGTCACACACTATTGTCCGCAATTAGAGCTGTCAAATCGGTGCGGTTCCGACTTGGTTGGAGCCACACCGATTTCTAAAGTAGTACATGTATTACTTTTGGTGTGATCTGCATAGACATCTGTGTCAGATGTCTTGCAAATTGCACCTGAAACACCTGAAATCGGCATTTCACCCGACACTGAAATCGTGCGACTTCACTGTAAGTCACACGATTTCAAAGTCGGGCTTGATGTGACCGGGGGGTTATTGCATAAGTTGAGGTTAGAAGCTGATTGGCTACCATGGATGAAGCCCCACTGCAAGGGAGAAGTTTTAAGTTTCCTGGAGTTTCGCTTTAACCACTTGCTCTCCAGATGATTTACCCTCCTTCATGACCAGTCCATTTTTTGCGATATGGTGCTGCGTTATTTAACTAATAATTGCGCGGTCATGCAATTTTTTTTTTTTTTTTTTTTTTTTTGCGCTATAAAAAAAAAAACCAACCATTTTGAGAAAAAAACTATTTTTGATTTTTTGCTATTAAACATGTCCAATAAAAAAATGTTTAAAAAAAAAAATCGAATTTTGTCATAAATTTAGGCCACAATGTATTCTGCTACATGTCCCAATACGTGTAAATTTAATTTGTTTACATGAAAGTTATAGCATTTACAAATGCCGGTATATTAATGGCAGCGATCATTGACTTGTAGTGGGACTGCAGCAGGCATTCTGACACTGGGGGGGAGCTGACGAACTGTCATTGACATCCCCAGTGACACTAATACAGTGATCAGTGCTAATAAAAAGCACTGACACTGGGCAGGAAAGGATTAACATCTGGGGCTATCAAAGGGTTAACTGTGTGCTGTGTGTGAGTTTTACTGTGTACACATGTTGCTTTGTATTGCTCTGCCATGCAGAGCAATACAATGCAGCGTGCAGAAGCTGACAGGTGAGATCTGTATTGTTTACAAACAGTCCTCACCCCCGTCAGTGATACTCTGCGATCACCGGGTGCTGGCAGGGAATCGCCGGCAGAGACTGGTGATCAACAGCTGAGGCTGCAGGTAGGGCACACGCACCCAATACTCAGGAATGCAAAGTCACTTGTGTGTGTGTATATATACGTGATTTTGCACAGCCCTGCCGCCCTGTAGCAGTATTTCTGCTACAGGGCAGCAGGCAAGCGGTTAAGAAACATCCTGAAAAATGTACCCTTTGGGTAGATTTACTAAAAAAGGAGCACCCAGAATGTGGTGCTGCTGGGCATGATAGCCAAACGACTGCTAATGTCAGCTTGTTCAATTAACGCTAGCAATAAAACCTGGAAGCGGATTGGTTTCTCTGCAGAGTTGCACCAGATTTTGCACTCTTTTTACCCGTTTTAGTAAATAACCTCCATTGTGCTTAATTCCTCTTGAAAGTTCCTCTTGAAAGTTTCCAGTGCACTTCCTGTTTTATATAAGTGTGCCTCTACACTCCTGAACCCGCGCTCTCATAGCTGTATATCTGCAGTATGAGATCCAAGGTACTGCTGCCTTTAACTGCTGGTCTTGGCAGCTTTCTAGTGAGATTTGGTGGTGTCATTAGCTACTTCAGCTTGCTCAATTAAGCTTTGACCAAAAAATAACCTGGAAGCCTCATCTGTATCCCAGTTGCCTTCAGATTTTCATATTCTTCTTCTTTAAATTGTTCATGTGGTAGAACTGTCTTGTGTGTTCCAGTTGCAGCATCTGGTATGTATTTTTTTGTTTTTGCATTCCCTTTTTGAAGTGTATCAGTGGAAATATGGTGACTGTGTACATGAGATTATAAAGCGTCAACTCTTCCTTTCTTAATGGGGATTAATGGTTTAATCTCAGAATCTTACTTTAAAGATCAGCTCCTGTCATTGTCCTATTAAGCACCATTTGGTTTTCATTTTAAAAGCTTTATTTTATACATACACTATATTGTGTTGTACACTTTGTGGCAGTGACTGTAAGATGAGGATGGTAAAAGCTGAATGTTTACAGGTTACTCAGTAAAATGATCATGTGTAGACTGCTGTGCTAACATAAATCTTGCTCTGATCTCTTGCAGTGGTATGGGGAGAATGTAACCATTCGTTTCATAACTGCTGCATGTCCCTGTGGGTGAAGCAGAACAACCGATGCCCACTGTGCCAACAAGATTGGGTGGTTCAAAGAATAGGCAAATAGACCTTTCTATGTCTGAAGAAGAAGACAACTGTCCTGGCTCAGGAGAGCCTTTTGAATGTGGTCGGCTTGTTTGTGCTTTGAAAAGAAGACTTTTATATTCTATATAGTTTTCTGCATGTGACTGGAGGTTTTCTGTCACCAGAGGTCCACATGGGTGAATAGTTATGTGAATGGCGGGGTTACATGGCTGTTAATATGCTTTGTCTCTGTTTGCTTCTGAAAGAAGAGACCTCTGGGTAGATAAAGCATTGTCCTGATCTATGTGCATGCAGGTGTGGACTCCAATCCATTGTGTTTGGAAGCAGAATAAAGTTATTGTTTTGTATTGTTTCTGCCTTGGAATTCTGGTAGTATTCTGATTTTACATTTTCTTCCTATACAGTAGTTCTAGACAGACATAAAAACGTAAAGGCTTATTTATCACTCAGTGTCTGGCTAGGTTCTGATTGCAGATAGATAAATTCAAAAAATTTACTAGACTTCTTTAAATAGGAACCACAAAATCAGCACATCTTTATTTCTTCTATTATACCACTTGCATCTTTTTTTTTTTTTGTGCTGACTGTATTCTTGAACACACAAATGTAGTTCACCCTTCTCATAAAAATTTTCAACAAAAGCAGCTTTAGAAATATTTAGTAATTGCAACCTAATTATTAATAGATACTGGTAGGCGGTTTATTTTTTGCATAGCTTGTTTTCGTTTTTCCATTCATTTCCCGGTGGCCATTTTCACTAAGGACAGATGAATCCATCTTCCTTCCTAGAACATTTACCAAGAACTTTTCAGGTTGCAGCTGTGAGACCAGAGTTTCATCACCAGTGCCTCAAGAAACTAGGAAGTGAAAAACCAGTAGAAGCGGCTGCTGTAGAACGCAAACATTTTGCACACATGCATGCTTGCAACTAGTTTGGAGAAGGCACTTTTCTGTACCAGCATGACTGTACTCCTGTACATACAGCCAGGTCTATAAAGGCATGTTTGATGCAGAGGAAATTAAGTGGTCTGCATAGAGCCCTGATCTCAATCTACTACTGAACACTTTTGGGGTGAAGTGAAATGCTGATTGTGAGCCAGGTCTTCTCATCCAACATCCATCGCTGACCTCACAAATGCTTTGTTGGCTGAATGGGCACAAATTATTACAAAACCACTCCCAAAATCTTGTGAAAAGCCTTCCCTAGTGAGGCATAATAGCCGTAAAGGGAAGGTGGGGGAAAGTCAATATTAAAGAGATTCCTATATGGGCAGCACAGTGGCTAAATGGTTAGCACTTCTGCCTGGCAGTACTAGGGTCATTGGTTCGAATCCCCACCACTGCACCACCTGCCTGGAGTTTCCTCCCACACTCCAAAGACATGCTGGTAGATTAATTGGCTCCTGTCTAAATTGGCCCTAGAATGTGTATGTATGAATGTGAGTTAGGGACCTTAGATTGTACACCCCTTGAGGGTTAGGGACTGATGTGAATGTACAATATATGTGTAAAGCGCTGTGTAAAATTGACGGTGCTATATAAGTACCTGAAATAAATAAATACTTACCTTGCCTGTTCCCCTCCACCAATTTCTTTCATTGCAGCCACACACACTCAATTATGGGGTAGCATTTGACCTTCATTGCAACTGTGCTTGAGTTTATCAGCCAATTGCTGGCCAAAGTACTGCCACTTTGTCAAGGGAGTGATAACATTGCTCTCCCTGTTTGTCATCAAGTCTAAATTCACTAACACACTGATGTGGGTAAGGAGAAGTGAAGACATTGTCACCCTGCCCAGCATGGGTGTCAGTGTCTCTTCAATGTCCATTTTCGAATGGGATGTTCAAGAAACCTTTTATACTTGTGATAGGTATCCACAATCCTTCATACAGTGTGTGTGTGTATGTGTGTGTGTGTATATGTATGTGTATGTATATGTATGTATGTATGTATATATATATATATATATATACACACACACACACACACACACACACACACAGTTGTGTTCAAAATAATAGCAGTGTGTTGAAAAAAAGTGAATAAAGCTCTAAATCGTTCTAATAGCTTTTATTTCCATACACACAAATGCATTGGGAACCCTACACATTCTATTCCAAATCAAACCATGAAGAAAAATATATCAAATTTGTGTTTTTCCTCTAAAGAACTTGAAGAAAAGTGAATATTAGACTGTTCAAAAAATAGCAGTGTTTGTATTCTTTACAAACTCAAACATTCACTATATAAACTCAAAAATGTTTCAAGATTTTGCTTTCCTTTGAATCACTTAATATTTAGTTGTATAAGCACTGTTTCTGAGAACTGCTGTACATCTGTGTTGCATGGAGTCAACCAACTTCTGGCACCTGTGAACAGGTATTCCAGCCCAGGATGATTGGACTACATTCCACAGTTCTTCTCTATTTCTTGGTTTTGCCTCAGAAACTGCATTTTTGATGTCGCCCCACAAGTTTTCTATTGGATTAAGATCTGGGTCTGGAACCAAGATGTTGCCCGTTTACTGGTGTGTTTGGGGTTGTTGTCTTGTTGGAACACCCATTTCAAGGGCATTTCCTCTTCAGCATAAGGCCGCATGATCTCTTGAAGTATTCTGATGTATTCAAACTGATCCATGATCCCTGGTATGCGATAAATATTCCCAACACCGTAGTATGAGAACCATCCCCATATAATGATGCCTGCGCAACCATGCTTCACTGTCTTCACAGTGTACTGTGGCTTGAATTCAGTGTTTGGGGGTCGTCTGACAAACTGTCTCCGGCCACTAGACCCAAAAAGAACAATCTTACTTTCATCAGTCCACAAAATGTTGCGCCATTTCTCTTTAAGCCAGTCAGTGTGCTCTTTGGCAAATTGTAACCTCTTCAGCACATGTCTTTTTTTTCAACAGTGGGACTTTGCGGGGGCTTTTTGCAGATAGCTTGGCTTCACATAGGCGTCTTCTAATTGTAACAGTACTCACAGGTAACATTAGACCTTCTTTGATCTTCCTGGAGCTGATTGTTGGCTGAGTCCTTGCCTTTTTGGCTATTCTTCTATCCATTCGAATGGTAGTTTTTCGTTTTCTTCCACGTCTTTCAGGTTTTGGTTGTCATTTTAAAGCATTTTCAATCATTTTAGCTGAGCAGCCTATCATTTTCTGCACTTCTTTATATGTTTTCCCCTCTCTAATCAACTTTTTAATCAAGGTACGCTGTTCTTCTGAACAATGCCTGGAACGACCCATTTTCCTCAGAATTTCAGAGAGAAATGCACCTGTAACCAGCATGTACAACATTTGCTGCCTTCCTTCCTTAAATAAGGGCAAGAATTGCCAGCTGTTTTTCAAAGAATGAATGACCTCACTAATAGAACTCCACACTGCTATTATTTTGAACATGCCCCTTTAAATTAGTGATTCAATTACACAGAATCAGAAGCATGCATGTCATGACTGTTGGGTCTGTTGGATTTTCTATTACTCTATTACACCTGCTAGTAAATTATTTGCCACGTAGAAATATTTCTACCAAAAACAGTGATTGATCAGGTTAGTGATGTCTGACTGCTATTATTTTGAACACAACTGTGTATGTATGTGTGTGTGTGTGTGTGTGTGTGTGTGTGTGTGTATATATATATAATGCAGTTCCCAATAAGGTCTCATGTACACTGGGCATTTAGCCCCAGTGCGTAAGACTCCAGAGTTGAGGTGTGGACCAAAGGCAGAGGAACGCCGTTCAGCCTGGAAAATGCTATGGGAGGCTTAAAGCTGCTGTGGCTGCACGAGCGTAGTATGTAATCTGGAATGAATGCTGATACTGCTTGTGCCTGTCCAGCCACAGTCGCTTTCAGTCTCTCACAGAGTTTAAAGGATAAGTTCACCATTCAACAAAAAGTAGTAAATGCCCATTTTTTGCAGGTAAAAAAAATATTCATTTTTTTTTGTTTTGGGAGCTTGTGAAGCATTGCACCAGTGATCAGCAGATCACTGATGCCATGTACAGTGTCTTGAAAAAGTATTTCATACCCCTTGAAATTTTCCACATCTTGTCATGTTACAACCAAAAACGTAAATGTATTTTATTGAGATTTTATGTGATAGACCAGGGGTCTCCAAATGTTCTAGACAAAGGGCCAGTTTCCTGTCCTTCAGACTTGGGGGGGGCCGGACTGTGGCCATTGAGAGTAGAAAAGGTTCCGATGTCAGTTGGGAAAAAAAACAATGCCCCATCTTTGGTGTCAGTGGGAGGAATTGTGCCCCATTGTTGGTGTCGGTGAGAGGAATTGTGCCCCATCAATGGGGTCATTGGGCCCCATTGCTGGTGTCATTGGGAGAAATTGTGCCCCATCATTGGTGTCATTGGGAAGAATTGTACCCCATCATTGGTGTTAGTAGGGTGAACTATGCCCTGTTGTTGGTATCAGAGGATGAAATAGTGCTCCAAGGGCCAGATAAAAGCAAGCAAGGGCCACAGATTGGAGACCACTGTGATAGACCAACACAAAATGGCACATAATTGTGACGTGGAAGGAAAATGATAAATGGTTTTCAAAATTTTTTACAAAAATGTGAAAAGTGTGGTGTGCATTTGTATTCAGCCCGAGTCAATACTTTGTAGCACCACCTTTTGCTGCAATTACAGCTGCAAGTCTTTTGGGGTATGTCTCTGCCAGCTTTACACATCTAGAGAGTGAAATTTTTGCTCATTCTTCTTTGCAGAATAGCTCAAGCTCTGTCAGGTTTCACGGAGAGCGTCTGTGAACAGCAATTTTCAAGTCTTGCTGCAGATTCTCAATTGGAATTAGGTCTGGACGTTGACAGGGCCATTATAAACACATGAATATGCTTTACTCTAAACCAGGGATGTCCAAATGTTCTAGACAAAGGGCCGTTTTTCCTGTCCTTTAGACTTAGGGGGGGGCCGGACTGTGGCCATTGAGAGTAGAAAAGGTCCCGATGTCAGTGGGGAAAAAACCAATGCCCCATCTTTGGTGTCAATGGGAGGAATTGTGC